GCTGGATGAGGGGTGGGTGGGGAGGGCTGGGTCCCTTATGCTTTGTGCCTGATACTTGTTGGAGGGGGGCAGTTTCTTGTACCCCTCTTCCTCCCACTCTTCTTTCTAAATGGGGGCGGGATCTCTGCTTCCTTTTTTTATTATTTGGAAGGAGTAATGAGGGAACTTGAGGAATACCCCATCTTTTCTAGCTCTTGCCTGGAGTTAGAAGTAGCGAGGAGCTACTCAGGCATCTTTGAGCAGGGTTTGATGTTCTGTGCTGATGACCCTAGGGCCCAGTGTGATAAGAGCAGCGTCACATGAGAAGTGCTGAAGGTGGAGCCCCTTTGTAGCCCTAGGCCCCATAGTATTTGGAAAGTGATCATAATCCCTCGGTTTAGAGCCAACGGCAGGACTGGGGCGGGGGGGCCTTCCTTAAAGGGGGCCCCTTGCATTCATGAAGCTGAAGGAAGTTTTGATTTGGTTGAAAAAATCTCATTCCTTTTTATGGCCTGGACATAATTGGCTCTTTTCTATTGGCCATCAGTGATGTCATTCCGACCCTCATAAAGAAGGGGAAATCACACCTGTGGACTTGGTGCATAAAATTTCATTGGGCAGCAGTAATAAGCATGGCCAGATGATGTTTGGGCAGTTGCGGAGCTCTGTGCCCAGTGATTCCAGCTGCACAGAGACCTGGGCACCATAAACCTGCCTGCACGTTCATGCCCGCAGGCTAGTTCAGGGCTCACTGCCAGTGGCTCTTTTCCTGGGATCAGTATCTGGTAGGAACTCACAGCATTCAGACCCTTTGTGCCAGTGGGGCTTTTGCCCTTTTCCTTTACAAGTTGATGGAACCATGTACCCCATGGTACCTACAGACCCTAGCCTTAGGCTCCTAAGAACCTTGGAGCCAGGTGTGACCTTGAGCAGTAACCGCCATGCCTACCATGCTACCTGCCTCTCTAAGGCCCCAGCCCTTACCTCCCTGGGGACTGTAAAGAGCTCTGAGTGCATGTGCATGACTGATGCCTTATGCAGTCAGAAGGCTGAGATCCTACTTCTTGTTCTCCCCTTGGTTTGTTATGTGATTGAGCAAATCCTTTTTCTTCTCTGGGCATTGCTTTCCTATTTTATGTAGGGGATGATGACTACTCTGACCTACCCTCTTCCATGGCTTCTCTTGGTGCTCTCTAAGCTGGGTAGGGTTCTGTCATAGAAATGCGTAGCTGTCTTCCTATGAGGCATCTGGAAGTTCAAGTTCTGGCATTTGGCTCTGAGTCTCTTGTGAAGATGGGCCTGGACCATGCTACATCTCTACTGCTTGTGTCTTGGAGTCACAGGGCTAGAACCAACCACAGACTGGAGGACTCAACAACCTAAATGCCTGTGAGTCTGCAAACTGCATGTGTCCCTGCAAGTACTAGAGGCTGAGTGAAAATTATAGTCCCGTCCTCCTCTGCTTCAGTCAGCCATGGGGTACAGATAGCACTCAGGGTCGCTGCTGAGCCTCATCCGAGGCTGACCAACCAGCCTGACAGTCTGTCTCCTCTGTCTTTGACACGGCCTCTCTGGTATGGGTCCTCCTCTGAGAGGATCAGGTAAGATTCTACTGTGCTAGACCCTTCCTACCTGGGTAGAAATGGCTACTTTTGAAATCTTGCTGAAGAGGGAGCCCCCCCCACCCCTGCCTGCACCCCCAACCAAGGGTAGCCACAGCCAGTAGGGCTCCTGGTACATCTCAAAGAATTGAGGCACTGGGAATAGCTCATATGATAGGTAGCCCAGGACCCCTGCTTTTTGCTGGCCAGTCCCCCTGACCTCTTCCTTTGCACATTCTGCTGCTTCTGGTGACCCCCTTCACTCACAAGACCTTAATATGATTTTTCAAAAATAGCTGAGCTCAGCAAGCATTTTCACAAATAACAAGGGTAAGGAACATGAAAGAAAAATAGAAGGAAATAAAATTATCTAGACAATACAGTTCTCCTTAAGCAACCACACTTTAGCTCCTAAGCCTATCTTTCATCCTTCAGAACCTTGCCTAGGGACACCTGGGTGGCTCAGCAGTTGAGTGTCTGCCTTTGGCTCAGGTGGTGATCCCGGGGTCCTGGGATCAAGTCCCGAATCAAGCTCCTTTCAAGGAGCCTGCTGCTCCCTCTGCCTATATTTCTGCCTCTCTCTCTCTCTCTCTCTCTCATGAGTAAATAAAATCTTTAAAAAAAAACAGAAAAAAAGCCTTACCTAGTCTCTTTACATTCTTGGTCCTCGGTTCCCACATGGGGATGTGCTCCCTGCATATTACTTCATCTTGGTCTCAGCCAGAATTTGCCTTCTGGGAAATTGACTTGTTGTAGTTAATGTACCTGCGCCGCCTGGATATTTGAGAGGAACCTCCCCTTCAAGTAAGATACCTCAGGTCTCAGAAAAGTAAATCCTTACTATACTGCCTGAAATATGGGGATCATTTTCCTCTCAGAGTCTGTCAAATAATGGAGTAATGGAGGGAAGGCTGGACTGCCCTGGATCTTTCTCTGATGGAACCAATCATCTTAACTGGATTCTTACTGCCAAACTTCCTCAAAAAGGAGCTTACAGTGTGGTCTCCACTTTCTTATCTCTTAATCCTTGTTTGACATGTTGCGTGCTGCCTTCTGCTCCCACCAACCCACTGATACCAAATTCATTAGGTTTTTCTCAGGTCTCATCTTGCTTGACTACTCCATGGCATTTGATACTAATGATCTGTAATTTAAGCTCAGAAATCTGTTGTATATATTCCAGAAAGGGGAAGTGTGCCTTTAGATTGTTTAGATTGACTACAGGTTGATGTAAAGTGAGGTTAAAGAGCATGTGTGGCTCTGGGTATCTGATACCCTGAAAAAGGTCCAGGAGCTCTGCCCTCTAGGAATGAAGGTGGGTTGGATAAGTCCTGACTCATAGTCCAGTATCTCCTGTGGAATTCTGGAAGGAGCTGAGCAGGGACCTCTGGGGGAAGCTTCCTGGGCCCTTAGATCTGGGAAGTATTCTGTAGGGAAGAGTTGGAAGTCTCACTCTCTAGTTTCTAAGGACTCATGGGTAGAAAATATAAAGAGATAGGTTTTAGTTTAGTATTAAGGAAGGATGTTCTAGAATTGAAGGAGTCCCAAACTAGAGCTGATTGCCATGTAAAGTAGTGAGTTCCACTGTGTGGTGATGGTCTTCTAGGATGACTTCATTTCATTTTAGTTCAGTAACACTTATGAGACATTAGCCTGAGCCCTCTGCTCATCTCACTCCATACTCTTCCTTGTTGATCTACTTGTGTGGCTTTAATTTCATTTAAATTACATTAATGATTTAGCAGTTTATATCTCCAGTCCAGACCTCTCCTCAAAACTGTATATCCAGCTGCCTCTGTAGTTATCATCCCACTGCCACATGTCTCCTAGGCACTTTGAGTGCTTACCATGCGCCATGCATGTATATAAAACTGTGTTCCCAAACTTGTGCCTCCTTCCAGTGGTGCATTAGGGGTGAGACAATGAGCAGTTCACTGTGATTTGGGCAGAGAATTTAAAAACAGTAATAAAGTTGACTAGCCACTAGTCAGCTCTGCGTGTCAGATATCCTCTCTCTGCCCCTGCCTCCTCCTCTGCCTGACCCAGTGAGTAGCATGAAGCTAGTCAAGCCACAGAGCTTTGAATTGGGCTATACCACTTCCTCTCCTTGGGCCCCACATCCCATTTGGTTACCAGGGCCTCCTTCACATCTCCTATCTGTTCCTTGCTCATTATCTCTGCAGTCTTAGCCTAGCTCTGAGCTACTACCCAGCCTTTTCAGGGTATTGTTTTTGTTATCCCCAGAAAAAATATTTGTAAACCACAACTCTTCAGAGGCTCTCCCTTGTCTGTGGCCAAGCTCTTCTCTTAGCAAGAAAGTTCTGTGATCTTTCCCAGCTACTATTCCTGGTATCTTCTTCCATGTTTCCATGTATTCCAGTGCTCCTACTTAAGGCTGTTTTGTCTATTTATTTCTTTTCTTGTCTGTCCCATTGAACAAATTGTGAGCCCCTTAGAGGCAGGGGCTAAGTCTTACGTTTTGTTTTTGTTTTTGAAGTCTTACGTTTTGAGCCCTAAGTGCCTGTCTACTATTAAACATCAGTAAATGTTTGGTTGAATGGATTTATGAGGGTACGACATCCTATCTAGAGGGAAAGATCATTTATAAATTATAAGAAAAAAAACAAGGACAACCTCTTAGTTTAAATTCTGACCTCTTGGGCAGCCCAGGTGGCTCAGTGGTTTAGTGCCTGCCTTTGGCCCAGGACGTGATCCTGGAGTCCCAGGATTGAGTCCCACGTCAGGCTCCCTGCATGGAACCTGCTTCTCCCTCTGCCTGTGTCTCTGCCTCTCTCTCTGATGAATAAGTAAATAAAATCTTAAAAAAAAAAAAAAATTCTGACCTCTTATCCTTTTGCATGGTCTCTTCTCTATTTGTAGAAAGCTTCTTGCTAGAGACTTAAATGTGAACTTAAGGCCCTGCCCAGCTATCACCAACTTGCATGCTCCTTCTGTGCCTCCTCCCGCCTTATAGCCCTCCCTCTCTGCTGTAATAAAAGTTACAAACTGGTGCATTGGAAAGAACATAGGCTTTGGGGTGAGGTAGACCTAGGTTCAATTCTTGGCACTGTCAGTTTTTAGCTATGGGACCTGCGGTGACCCCTCTCATTTTCTCATCTGTAGAAGGTAGGCAACAATACCTTCTAGCATCATCACACTGAGGAATCACCTGCCAAGGCAGGTAAGATCCTTAGCATATTGCAGGCCATCAGAAAATGGTAGCTGCTAGAGGCTCCAGGTGCTCACATTTAGATTTGGAGCCCAGTGCCCACGGTGCTAGAGGCAGGGTGCCTTTCTTGGGCAGGGTGGGACCTGTGGCTAATGGGTTAGCCTTCTGAGGTCTGTTTGCATTTCCTAGACTCAGACTCTATACCTGGGATATGGATGTTCCCAACTTGTTGTCTTTTCCCTTTCTTGTAGGCTCCCAGGCCAGTGCCAGTACTTGGGCTTGCCGGTGGCAGATTACTTCAAGCAGTGGATTAATCTGAAAAAGGTACCGTGTCTGAGCCCCATGTGGGTGCTTCCTCTGGGTCTCCTGTGCCTTCAGTCCCCTCCCTCACTCACTTTTTTTATTCATTTCTCTTTTTGTTGTCATCTCTTTCCTTTTCTTTGTGTTCTCTTTTCTCAACATCCTTCCTCCCTTTTCCCTAACTAATATGCACTGGAAGATTGTGGTTCTTTCTGGGAGTGGGGAGCTGCTTGGGGATCAGGCTTCAGGGTAGAGTATGACACCGTCCTATGTGGTATCATCCAGATGTTCAGAGAAGTCCCAAAGAAGGGAATTTTCTAGGTTCTTGCTCAGATCTGAGTCCCTGGGCTGAGCTGCATTGTCCTTAGGAGAGCTGTGGTGCTAGCTGAGTCTCTGGGAAAGTATCCTCCTTTGATGTGATCATGAGTGTGGCCTCTGACCCTCCTGAGTGGCCCTGGGGTGTCCTGGTTGGGAGGTAGAATTGGTTCAGGCTGGCTTTGGTCCTGCCTCGCCCCAGCGAAACCTTGCTCATGTGAGAAGGATTGTGGAAACTAGAGTCCAATTACGTCTGGGTATGAGGAAGGACATTGGCCCTAATGCAGCACCAAGTGCCAGGGGAGTGGGTGCCGGAGCTGTGGGCTGGGAGGGACCCCATGTGGCTATGAAATTGGGCCCTAGTGGAGAATGAATTACCCAGAAAAGTGTACTTTTCCAGTGTCTGCTATACTTCTCAGGTAAGCAGAAGAGAGGAGGTGTAGGTATAGATTCCCAAGATCCTTGCTCTGTTGGGATCCTTCCTCCAGGAGGCCCAGTCTGCTAGAAAGACTCACTCCCATAATATTGACATAAGGGTAATAGCCTTGGAGCAGCCTCAAAACCCCATGCTGCTGATCAGCTTAGTGACGCCCAGGAAATCAGAGAAGAGAGAACACACCAGGGTTCAGAGTGGTGGCTCCCGGGGGGCTTAGAGAAGAGAAAGGCCATTGAAGGCTAAGATGTATTGTGAGGATTTGGGTCTTGAACTGGGTGTTCGATGGAATATGGGTCTGAAAGAGAAAGACTTTCCGAGCAAAGGGAGCAGCATGCTTTTGGTGTATGTATGAGTTGGAGCTAAGTGAGCATGTGGAAGAAGAGGAGAGGAGAATGACTTTGGACTTAGTTCCATTGATCTCAGGGCAGCCATTCTTTATGGCAACATTTGTGAGCTCCTCCATTTTCGCCTGGTACTCAGATCCTTCACACTTGGTCCTTGGCTTGTTTGTACTTTAACCCTTACCCACCTCTCCAAATGATCTCCCTTGGTCCCGAGCAGTTGCTATTTACTACCTTCCATCTTTGGCTGAGGGGGCCAGGCTCTGTCCTATCTTCAGGTCGTGGCCTATGGCCTTACCTCAGTCTGAAGCGTCCCCCAGTTATATTCATCAGGCACATTCGATCTTGAGGATTCAGCTCAGATATCACCTCTTCTGAGAAGGTCAGCAGTCAATCTCTTGTCTTGAGACTCCTTGACCCTTTGGATATCAGTGATCTTTGAGTATTGAAAGTGAGTCCCTATATGTTTCCTCAAAGACCTATCCATCTGGAGCATGGAGATTGAGGCTGGTTCCTCTCTGCGTCTGAAGTGCCAGATCAGGGACGTGCCAGTGGCTAGTGGCTGGTGATGATCTTTGAGAGCTGGCTCCACAAGCCTTCTCACTCAGGACTTGGCAGAGCTCTGCACGAGGGTGTGGCTAGGTCTGCGCTCCTGGAAGACAGCATACCAGCTGTCAGAGTGCATCTGAGGCTACTTGCTGGCCTCAGCAAATGCAATGTGAAGGCCCGGCCAGGCGAGGCAGGCGCTGACCATGAACAATTGCTCTCTGAAGTTCACTAGACTTTTTGGTGTCTGGATAACTCTCTGCCTCCAGGTTCCTTGGCAGAGAGGCAGGAAAACAGCCGACCCGTGTGTTAACATTGCCACTCAAGGCTACCTTGATGCTGCCGGGGTTGGAGGCAGGCTGTTCTGAGCCTGTTCAGCATAGTTCTCTGCCAGACTGTGCTGAACCGTAGGAGGGAAATGAGTACAAGTAGAAACTGGAGACTCTGTTCCCAGGTGGCCTTGTGATTGCCTCTTGGTAGGTAAACTGAGCAGGTTTAGGAAAAACAAGAATGGCATGAGGTGAGTGGCATTAGAGGGGTCTAATCTCTTCCTTCCCCAAATCATGCTCCAGCTATGTCAGAGGGCCCAGCAGGAGAGATGACTCAGTTCAGAACTTTGGGCCAGTCCTTGCCAGCAGCTATTCAAAAGAGAGGCTGCAGGGCCCTGGAGGTCCAGGGGCCTGGTGATCTTTTTGACTTACACTGCATGAATTAGTGCATGGTGCACAAAGATTCCTCCTCCCTTAAAATGAGTAACAGTAAGAGCAAGCCAGAGAGATCATTGCCAGGGTTGCGTGGGTATTGTGCAACGTATTACTCCATGCCCTTCTTTCCCCCTGTATGACCCAGGTCCTGGCTGTCTCCAGGACTGCCAAGACTTGCCCAGTGAGTGAACTGGAGCTGAATTCACCATCCCCATTTCTTAAGGCCTCTGCTGTCCAAAAATGATGTGCACTGTGTCAGGGAAGAGCAGCTTTTCAGTGGCCAGGCTTCCACATCTCTCACTTCCACCTACTTCCCCTGTAGCAGAGTGGAGCAAGCCAGTGTTTGCTGACATTTGGAGTGTCATTGAATGATCTTACACTCTTATTGAACTGTCAGCTTAGAGAAGACTTGGGGCCCTGCTCCCAGCTCCCTTCAGGAGGTCAGAGCTGTCACTGAGGAGCCAGAAGAACACATACACACACACACACACACACACACACAGGTGCATAAATACACACATGTTTACTTATGTGAATGATTATACCGAAGTAGGCATATCCAAAATTGTATGTATGTTTCCATCCATACGTAGGGGTGTATATACGTAGTCACGTATTCACCTTCAGAAATATATGGAAATATACACAGGCACACCTTTATACATACGTATCGTAAAACATGAAGACATTTGGAGATAGATGTATATAGCTATATCATATATGTATATATATAAACATACATACCTTCATCAATAAATACATATTCTTAAGTGTCCTCTGTGTTCCAGGTACTGTACTAGGCCTGGAGACATAACAGGAAAAATGGATATTAAATAATTCTTATTGTGTCGTAACACTGCTAAATCCAGAGTCATGGCATCATTTCAAAAGTGCACCTGACTGGGAGGGGCGGGGGTGCAGGGTCAGAAAATAGTTCCCTGAGGAAGGATGTCTAAGCTGAGATCTGAAGGATGAGTAGGAATTGGCTAAGCATGTGGCAAGGCCCTGAGGTAAGGAGAGGCTTGGCAGCTTCATGGGATGAGAATGTGAGTTCCGTGGGAGTGGAGAATTTTTGTGTCCTCTGTTCACTAGTCTGTTCTCATCACTTTGAATAGTTCCTAGCACACAGTGATGTTTAGTCATTATTTGTTGAATGAATGACTGCTTAGAGCATAGAGAATGTGGGGAAGACAGGAGAGTGGCATTGGATGAAACTGGAGGGGGAAGCCACACTTTAGATTTTGATCCTTATCCTTAGGGTTAGGGGGAGGCTATGTAGGAGAGGTGTCATCGGATTTGCTTTTTGAAAAAGCTCTTGCTACAGTGTAGCAAGAGCTGAGAGTTAATACAGGGGTATCAGTACTGGCTTTTCTTACTGGGGCTATTAGTTGGCATCTTGGGGAGGGAGAAATCGTTGTATGGACAACATTGCTGAACTTGTAGCATTCTTGTCCCCCCTGCCTCCCTCCAGGTCCTTGCAACAACCAAAAACACTACCTCGCTGCCAGATACACATATGTTTCCAGCAGCCTAGACATGGGTGAAAGTGGGGAGGTACTGTCCCTGGTTGAGAACCACAGAATTAGAGCATTGCTCCAGCCCAGGTGAAAGATGATCATTAACAGGATTGAACTGATAGTGGGAATGTAGAGGACTGGATTGATTCTATGGTGTTTTTTTTTGTTTGTTTGTTTTTGTTTTTGTTTTTTTATGATAGTCACACACACACACAGAGAGAGAGAGAGGCAGAGACACAGGCAGAGGGAGAAGCAGGCTCCATGCACCGGGAGCCCGATGTGGGATTCGATCCCAGGTCTCCAGGATCGCGCCCTGGGCCAAAGGCAGGCGCCAAACCGCTGTGCCACCCAGGGATCCCCCTGATTCTATGGTGTTAAGTGGTACAGTCAGTTTTGCTATAATGCAACATAGACCTTCTTAAAAATCACTGTGCTATGAAAAGTTGTAATAAAAAGTTGCAATAAAAAATGGGGTTAGGAGCACAATACTCAAAAACTTCATCAGTGACATATAAAAAAGATAGGAATTTAATAAAAATGGTAGCATAATTTTGCACATGTTAAATGGCTAAGAAATACATAAATACTACAGTAAATATGGCAGTCTACCTTGAAAAAAAACCCTGAAGTTTGCTTGGCAATGGGCGTAAGAAAGGTTGCAGCTTGTGAGTTATTGAGCAGGAGAGTTCTCTGGAATCATTTGGTAAGTTGTAGCCAGGTGGATGTGACTTATATATGTAGTGTTCTAGAAAGCTACTATGTTTGAACTGTGAGCATGTGTGCATTCTGCATGTTCTTACATAGCTCTCTTCAGCTGTGTATACTTTCCTGTGTTTATCTAGTATTGATTTATGGACAAAATGACACATAAACAAAAGCAAAATTTACATTATGCTAAACTGTTTCCTAATACATTGACTACATGAGAATTTGCTCTTTCAAAAACAAGTATTATAGCAGAATGGACTACAAAAGACAGGAAAGGGTCATTGGCTATGAAGGTTGATGATGGAGGAAACTACAATGACTCAAGGTTTATGATTTGAGCAACTGGATGAATTGAAGTGAATGTACTGAGTTAATGGAAGGAGAAGTTTGGAGATAAGAGAAGATGCATTAGGACATGTAGAGTTCAGAGGCTTGCAGATGTTCTCGTGAAGCTACA